GATGATGTGTTGTATATTCTCTGTTTTCATATTCCTTGTTCATTGTGTAGTTCATTGGTCCTCCTGATTGTATTCTACATCGCATTGCTGATCTCGGCTACACTCAGCAACTGAGAGAAGCACTCAGGATTTCTGCAGGCAATGTGAATAGGCAAGACAGGGTACGTATAGGAAACAACACATTATTCATTGTAAACACTGAATGACAAATCGTCATTATGTATTAATAAATTACTCATAAAATTATAACTAAATATTTAATATTAAATATAATTATGGCTGTAAAATACTGTATTTATTACTTCTATTAATGTTCAATTGCTTTATTGTGTGGTTTTAACCGTTGAGTGAAAGCCAATGCACATTAATGATTCTGAATCAAAATTTCTTGACAGTATGACATAGGGCGTCCATGTTGTGATAGCCGAGCGAATGAATGTTTCTGAATCACTCATAATAAGTAAAAAGCGTGTTTAAAATTTCGGAAAATCAGCTTTTTTCAGCCATTTTTGGAATTGATTTTGTTTCTCTTAGTATTGTACACACAATATGATGATTACATTTTGCATTACATAGGCCTATTTCTACATATGTATGTATGGGATATGACCGGTTGAGCCGCCGACAAGTTGAGCCGCCGGTAATTTCTATGGAACGCCAAGTGCGTCTGTCAGTGAATGTAGTCGGCTTGCCCCGGATACCAGCAACATTATTCATCCCACATTCTTGTCAGTTGATTTGCTCGTATTGCCGTTCGTGATGTATAAGTTGTGTAATTGAAAATTAGAATTTTGATTATTTTATGTACTACATTTTTATAAAAATAAATGAAGTTGTATAATTGCAGAATCTTATTAAAAATGTAATTTAATTGTTTAGTAATTTATATATTTTTATTTTTTGTACATTTGTTGAACTTATATATAATAAATGATAAGAATGTATGGAGTTTTTTGTTTACTATCAGGCAAGCTGACTGAGCAAATACTCACAAAATTAAAACGATAGAAAGAACAAGTAAATAATTTGAAATTAAGTCCCAAAAATATTTAATAAATCAGTGCAAAAACCGAGTATTAAATAAATTGAAATAATTGAGTAAATAAACTGAAATACATCCCAAACAACAGTACCAAGAACGAATAAGTTAATTGAAATACGACGCAATTAACGCACTACATTCACCGTGAGACATGCTTGGCGTTCCATAGAAATGAAAGGCGGCTCAACTTGTCGGCGGCTCAACCGGTCATAATCCGTATGTATGTAGGCCTAGGCTAGGCCGGGCTATGTAGTCCAGCCTAAGTATATGTGTACGCGAGACAAAGCATGAACAATTAAAAAGGCTGTACAGAAAACAGTTAAAAAAATACAGCAAGGTTTCAACCTGGCCACTTTTTTGACAAACTTTAGTTAATTTATTAGGATTTGAATAGGAAGAAAGGTTAAATTCCACTGTATGTTTACTACGGGTATTTATTAGACTCAACCTACTACCTCCTTGACATAATTCAGGAACCACAAGTCTGTGAAATTTGGGGTAAACTTTTAATGATAGTTTAAAATATTTTCTTCTCTTTAGTATAAGTTTTATAATTAATTAAGCATTAGCATGCATCTAGCATGCATTAGGATGCACTTTTTTCTTCAGTTGAAATTCAGTGTTCATATGGGCTTTGTTTTATCCAAATAATCAAGTAGGTCAAACTATACATAATGAGATTTTTGCAAAAATCAGGCTAAAGGTTCCTATTTATTATACACTTGCCTAGGACTTTCTATTCATTTCTTCACTATTGCCTGGTCAACTGACAATCGGCATACGCACAACTAATGTGTAGTGATCAAAACAATCGACAACCGCTACAACAACAGGTTGAATATTGCAGTACAGTAGAGAGTGATTGACTTACCATAAAACAATCAGTTTAGTTTTATATTATAATATACGAAGGTTAAACTATGCATACAAACACATTATACGAGCATAAACTTTATTATTTTAATTTTATTACAGTACGCATTATTGACCAAAATAAACTTTATTATAAATGAAGTTTGTTTTGTCATTATTATTATCATTACTGTTGTTACTGCCTATACACATCTATGTAGTCTAGCCTAAGTATATGTGTACGCGAGACAAAGCATGAACAATTAAATAACACTGTTGCATCGCCTACCGTTGCAAGATAAGCTTATTCCACATTTCTTAGCTCATTGAATATATTTTTCATTGTAGTAAGTAATAAAATAAAATAAAATGATGACCCTCAATTTTCGAACATTTTGGTTTGATTGGTTGTAGCCAACACAATAACTTTTGTTGTTTGGCCTAATTTCTTATGATGAAAAAATGCAGCAATAAAATAAATTGAATAGAATGGAATAATCATCATAAAGGACATTTTTAGTATAACATGATAGTACTTATTAAATTATTGTATTGAATGAAAAATGTATTTTATACAAAGTACAAGTTGGTTATATTTACCTAAATTTTAACTGTAATGTTTTAGATGGCATCATTTTTCTTGTTTACAGAGGTGTTGACTGTGTCTGGATTATTATTCACATTATGCTTTCAATTATTTGTATGGTTATGAGCTCTCACTGAATAACACTGTTTTCAATTGTGTTACAGGTGGGCAATACTCCACTTCACTGGTTGTTACGAGCTGACCATTCATACCGAGATCACACAGATGCAACACGTTATTTATTAACGTATGGAGGAAATGCTAAGTTAAAAAATGAGGTAAAGTAGATAAATGACGAAGATTATTATTATTATTATTATTATTATTAGGCCTATTATTATTATTATGAATATTTTGATAATAATGATGGTGAAGGAGCATACTAAAATGATTGATGGCAACCATAATGTCGATATGGTAGTGACGACTAATGATAATAGGATTTCGGCCTATACACTCAGGCGAAATATTTATTCACGATCGTTGTAACAACCATTGATTTTCTTCAGCGTTTTATTGTTAACATGAATCTCTACAAGATGCAAATGTAGAATTAAAGATTAATTAAATTGATAGGTAAATTTATTCAATTCAGTTGTTTGTTGTTTTTTTTGTGTAACATTTGTTGAAGCTTTAATGTAATTGTATTTCTTGATTAATATTAATTAATTTCATGAGGTATGATATGTGATTGTCGTTGCAGGATGGTCAAACTCCAGCTGACATGTATGTGCACAACACATGTAGGAAGTACGATTCTAGAAACAGAAAAGAACAGAAAGAAATGCTCATGCGTCTCTTACAAAGTGAGCTGTTCATACCAACATATTTCATATTTATTTGTGTTTGTTTTGTATAAATCATTTTGAAATTGATAGTATATTTTCGCATTGTGTATATTTAGTATAGAACAATATAAAGCAAATGACAGCAGCACTTTTGAGACTAACAATATATACTTTATTCTCTAGCTTTCGTCCACACAGTGGACTTCTCAACGGCTTTACTGTATATTTAGTATGAAATTCATGAAACACCAAATGTACATTCATTTTTTATGTGTCATTTATGTGTATCATACAGTACTTAATGTTTAAACACAGTAAATAAGAAACCTAATCTTTAAGTGGTATTATTTACGGTATTTTGATTAGTGATCCAGGGGCCGCTGTTAGTTGCGCTTTGTGATTTTTTACAGCCTTTTTTATGCTTGATTCCCACAGAATGATAGCAATATCATTCAGTATATCATTGAATATAATACTGTAAAACATTTACAGTATTCAATGATGAAAATAAAACTAATACTCTAGGCCTATATTTTTTCTGTTCCCCATCGTAGTTTATTCCTCCTCTTTTTGGAATAAATAAGTTTTAATCCTTTTTTTTTTGTTTTGCAAGTTGCTTTTATCTGGGTTAAACTGCTGTCCGTAATCACAAATGGGTATGATCAACGTAATCGTTGCACCATTGATAAGAATATTGTTATGGGGAAAGAGATGCAACTATCACAATTAAAGCAATGAAAAATGTGTATGCCTACAGATGAATGAATAGGTTAAAGACCTCTCTAGTAAATAACGACATTGCAGGCCTCAATAATATTATCGATTTCTTTTCATATATAACAAATTTCATGAGGTAATTCAATGTGTAAATCAGAAATATTTATACTTAAAGCGGGGATGGTTCCAATGGAAATCTTGGCGCGTGGGCACGAAGCAATGGAAGCTTTTAATGATGCTCTAGCTGAGGGAGAAGCAGAGGTTAATCAAGGAAGGACAGTTTTCATGGGCCTCGAGAGGGTTGGAAAAACATCTACTATCAAGTCATTTTTAAGGAATACGTAAGCTAAATATATTCAGTGGTTGCTTTCGCTACGTTAGTTAACCAGTTGAATTAGTTGAAGCCTTCAATAATGATTTTTAATTAACCTGTAATTCAAATATTCTTTGTATTAAATTCAATAATCGACAACTTAAATGAATGTATCATTCATTAATATCAATCCATTTCCACACATTTATTTATA